GACATCAGGCCCCGGCTGGGTGGACGGCCCGGAGCTTTGACTTGTTGCTGCAGTCTTTCATAAAACAGATGTAATGCAACATTAGCATTCTGTCAGTTCATACAGTATTTATATACAAAAGGAAATGTGACAGGGAATAATAGTTGATATAGTATGGGTTATATGCCAAATTATTATTGTTATGTGTATTGACAAAGAAAAACTTCCACCTTAACACACAAGTGATAGCATGTTTAGTAACCTGTAAAACGTATGGCCATAGTGCTAAAAGTAATGGCCCCTATCGACGGTGGGAGGTGGGGGTTACAAATACACAATAGACCAGACTATGGGCAATTATATACCACAGGTGGTTCCTGGGGCCAGGTATTCCACGAAAGGCTATACAGTTGCCTGAAAGTTTGTCACACAAATAAGCCATGGTTAGCCACAGCGGTGGAAAAGTACCCAATTGTCATACTTGAGTAAAAGTAAAGTTACCTTAATAGAAAATGACTCAAGTAAAAGTGAACGTCACCCAGTCAAATCCTACTTGAGTAAAAGTCTAAAAGTATTTGGTTTTAAATATACTTAAGTATCAAAAGTAAAAGTAAAAGTATAAATCATTTCAAATTCCTTATATTAAGCAAACCAGACGGCACCATTTTCTTTTTTTATTTAATTTACGGATAGCTAGGGGCATGCTCCAACACTCAGACATCATTTACAAACGAAGCATGTGTTTAGTGAGTCCGCCATATCAGAGGCAGTAGGGATGACCGGGATGTTCTCTTGATAAGTGTGTGAATTAGACAATTTTCCTGTCCTGCTAAGCATTCAAAATGTAATGATTACTTTTGGGTGTCAGGGAAAATGTATGGAGTAAAAAGTACATAATTTTCTTTAGGAATGTAGTAAAGTAAAAGTTGTCAAATATATATATAGTTAAGTAAAGTACAGATACCCAAAAAACACTACTTAAGTAGTACTTTCAAGTATTTTTACTTAAGTACTTTACACCACTGGCTAGTCAACACATTAGACATTGGGAAAAAGTGTGAAAATATCCAGTAGACAAGATCAACTCACATTGGTGCCAGAGGAGCTTGCAGTTCTTTGGGGTCCATTGAAGAACAATCTATTGAGGCCAGAACCTGCGAGTGAGTTGGGGAAATTGACCTCACAGTTATTTGTGACACAATGGAAGTTCATGATACATACAATTCTAAATGTGAAAGGTATTCCTTCCAGTTCTCTGCTGCAAATGACTGGAACGAACTGCAAAAATATCTGAAGCTGGTGTCAGTTATCTCCCTCACTAACTTTAAGCATCAGTTGTCAGAGCAGCTTACCGATCACTGCACCTGTACACAGCCCATCTGTAATTAGCCCACCCAACTACCTCATCCCCATATTGTTATTTACATTGTTATTTATTTTGCTCATTTGCACCCCAGTATCTCTATTTGTACATCATCTTCTGCACATTATTGCCTTACCTCCATAACTTACTACATTTGCACACACTGTATATAGATTTTATATTGTGTTATTGACTGTACGTTTTGTTTTGTTTATTCCATATGTAACTCTGTGTTGTTGTTGTTTTTATCGCACTGCTTTGCTTTATCTTGGCCAGGTCGCAGTTGTAAATGAGAACTTGTTCTCAACTGGCTTACCTGGTTAAATAAAGGTGAACTAAAAATAAAAAGTATTGACAGTTGATATAGTATGGGTTATATGCTAAATTACTGTTGTTATGTGTATAGACAAAGAAAAACTTCCATCCTAGCTGTTAGATTCTAGTTTCTGGTACAATACTCCTGACGGACTCCAAGAAAAACTCAAGCTAGGTTTATTCACCACACTGGGTGTTGCAGCTGCAAAACCACCCCTACAGGTCACACAAGCACATATATTTATACCTTCCTATTAGGCGGAGTCACCTCCTTGTATTTCTATGTTAAACAATCAATCTCTGTTGCTGGGCAAGAACACTGAGTCTGTTCCTTCTCTTGGTGTTATCATGTCCCAGCCTAAATCCAGAGCTTTTGCATTCCTCCGTGCCTTTCACAGGTCTTCTTATCAGTCAGGAGAAGCCTTGAGTTATTGGAAGTTCACATTCCTACAGTCTACTGCAGTCCACTAGATAATTACACTTCTCATACACAAAGAGCTTCAACCTAACACTACTTTCAATCTCTAAGAATATATAAAAATGGGATATTCATATTAAGAGTATATAAGGATATAAAACAGTAAATATATAAGACAGTGTTATTGATGAGTAATTACGATCTATCAGCTCTAACTCCAGACACATGACTGTTATTCAACCCTTATGGAATCAGTCTTGCCCCCTTTCCCTCTGCCCAAATACAATGCACATAGATCATTCCATCTATCCCATAACACGATAATTACTACTGCTACAAATACAATGCACATAGATCATTCCATCTATCCCATAACACGATAATTACTACTGCTACAAATACAATGCACATAGATCATTCCATCTATCCCATAACATGATAATTACTACTGCTACAAATACAATGCACATTGATCATTCCATCTATCCCATAACACGATAATTACTACTGCTACAAATACAATGCACATTGATCATTCCATCTATCCCATAACACGATAATTACTACTGCTACAAATACAATGCACATAGATCATTCCATCTATCCCATAACATGATAATTACTACTGCTACAAATACAATGCACATAGATCATTCCATCTAAACCATAACATTAAAATTACTACTGCTAGGCTAGTTATACAATTATAAATAGATTAAAACGGGCTCAAGTCAGTCTCCAACAGTAACACACAAGTATAATGTGAGACCACGTTTATAATCTGTAATACATTTTTTATGGCCATGGGGCTAAAAGTAATTATATTGTTAGGATAGTCATGGCCACTATCGACAGAGGGAGGTGGGGGTTACAAATACACAATAGACCAGACTACATGCAACCAAATAAGCCTACCCCAGGTGGTTCCTGGGGCCATGCATTTCATGCAAGGCTACACAGCTGTTAAAGCATGAAATGTTGTCATGCAAATAAACCATAGCTAACCAACACATCAGACATGGGAGATTATGATTATGAAAAAAGCGAGTAGACCCGATCCTAAGTAATTCAAATGCAACAACACCTTTCATTTTTATTCTGCAACGTAAGATGACACAATTACTGTCTATTACAATGTAAAATGACACTATTACTGTCTATAATCTCCTCAACCCCATTGTCATAAAGACAGGGCACATATCCTAACCGGTAGAACGCCTAGGCTATGTCTACATGATATGGTGCAATGGTTACAACACAATAAGATCAACTCGAACTGCATTGATTAGACTACATACCTCCGCACAACGTGGCCTCAGAGCATTTCGTATTATTCTGTATGTAAATCCGAGACACTGCATTTAGTATGATATGTTACGTTTTGTATGGTATCTATTAATTTGTGGATGTCCATCAACCATTTCGCATGATATGTTACGAATTACAAGTCGTATGATATGTTAGGAATGCAATTCGTGCAATATGTTAAGAATTTGCAAAAAAGTACAGTATGTTACGAATTTGCAAAACGTATTATATGTTACGAATTCCAATTTGTTGTGGCTAACGTTAGCTAGGGTTAGGGGTTAAGGTTAGGAGTTAGGTTAAAGGGTTAAGGTCAGAGTGAGGGGTAGGGTTATCTAAAAGGGTTAGGGTTAGGGGAAGGGTTAGCTAAAAGGGTTAGGGGAAGGGTTAGCTAACATGCTAAGTAGTTGCAAAGTAGCTAAGAAGTAGTAAGTAGCTGAAAAGTTGCTAAATAGCTAAAGTTGTCCGTGATGAGATTCGAACACATAACCTTTGGGTTGCTAGACGTTCGCATCATACACCTACACATCCACCCCGACCTACCACCTTCCTTTCATTTTTGCCTTAACATCTTATTTACTGTTTTTTATCGCTACTAGCTATCTTCTGCATCTTTCAACGGAAAAGAGTGACATTTTTTGCCGTCTTCCCTAGATGTCTTATATAAAGTGCAGCCAGGGACCGAACACCAGCTTCCTCTTGCTGCCATCTCTTCCGATTTCCACTTTTCAGAACTAACATTAGGCTACCTGTGATACGTTTTTCAACTTTTGCGCCGGCTCCTTCTCCCCCCCACACACATCTGTGACGTCAAGCTCCAAACAAGGGCATATATGTCACAGCGTTGCCCCACGAGAGTGCACATGTGCAGTTCCTACCCATCTTCACTGTTGTTGCAGTCGGCCATGTTGTTGTTTACTTCGTATAACTAATCTGTAACGCTAGGCTGTCTTCACTTCTCCCCTGAATTGTTTTTGCATCTGTGATTGTGAATAAGGGCCTTACGTGCAGTTTTTATGCAAAGGGTTTCCCCCACGACAGAGTTACCTATCTCTGCTGTTGTTGCAGTCGGCCACATAAAATAATGATATAAAATAATATAAAATAATCCCAATAGTTTTAGGTGGAAAAGTATACATTTCCTCATGCAAAATCGATAGTAAAAAAAAAAGTATCTCTAATTTGGCCGTAGGCTTTCAATAAAACAAAACATTTGTCCACAATTCGCGGATTTCTCAATCATTCGTTGACTGAAAACAGAGCAGAGCTAGCAGTGCGCAAAGACACGTCACGTGACCCGCTTTTGCCGCTTTCCAGTTCTAGACTGCAGGGAGAGAGAGGGGAAGAAGGCAAACTCCGCCTAACTAGTTTCAATGTATGGAATCACTTGGATTTATTTTCTTCATAAACTTCCCCTTTAAGTGAGTTTATTACCTTTAAACTGCAAGTCATTGCCTTGAGATACTATGAGATTAACTAAAAAGATGGGATGATGTTGCGAGGTTGAGGTTCCGCCTCAGAAAACTGTACACTCTTACTTGCAGTATTGGGCAAAGTGACACAGCTCATGGGTATAATATTATGTGATCATCATAACCAATGAAATATTTATTGTAGGAAATGTCAGACTTGGACACTGCGATCCAGGAGAAGGCCATGAAGGTGGACATGGACATCTGCAGACGCATTGACATCACGGCCAAACTTTGTGACGTGGCTCAGCAACGCAACTCAGAAGACATGAGCAAGATGTTCAACATGAGCCCACACATGAGCCCCTCCAGAGCACCCCCAGAGAGCAAGGTAACTGGATCGCTTTTCATATGTACCTCATGTGAAAAATGGGACACAAATGTCCATGAAATGTTTTCTCCACACACATACACGCACACATTTCCCCTCCCGTTCACACACAGCTGACTAGTGTGTGGTGTGTGTGGTTTCACAGGGGGCTGCATCTTGCAGGAGGAAAGAGTGTAAGGCTGTGAATGAGGAGAGGAGTCCTGAGATTGAAGCTGAGTCTGGGGGTGGGGAGGAGGATGAAGAGGAGGAGAAGGAGAAGGTCGTAGAGGCACTCAACATCACAGACGAGATGAAACGCATGCTCAATCAGCTGTGAGTGGCCCAACCTTTGTTTGACCTGTGTTATGTAACTTCTTGTTTAGCCTAAATTGCTAATGAGTGCTAGCTGAAGGACTAGGGTCGATATGTTATCCAACTAACTGTGTTGTTTGAGCCATACGATCTCATTCTGTGAATTAAATCCCCACTGTAGTCTGTCTCGTTAGATAGCATCTCATAGTCCGTTTCATGTGTGCTTTGTTACTTTGTCATGTTTTCATCTCTGTCAGTCACTGTCTCTGTTGTTTTCTCTCTTCCCTGTCCTCTTCATTTGAAAACCCTTTTAAAATGTGCACGCCTTTCCGTTTGGTTTTGGTTTTCCCCATTTTTTTGTCTTCTCTCTTTTCTCCCCTCCCTTTCCACCTCCATGTCTCCTCTCTTTTTCTCTGTCCCTCCCTCTCCCCTCTTCTCCCTCCCTTTCTTGTATGCAGAACTTGCTCAGATGATAATTCCTTTGTCACCAGGAGGGAGACGTTTGACTTTGATGACGACTGTGACAGCCTGGCTTGGGAGGAGAATGAGGAGACACTGCTCCTCTGGGAGGACTTTGCCAACTACAACACCCCCTGTGCTGCAGCCAGTGCTACTGCAGGTGCCTGCACTGCAGCAGAAGGACAGGGGGAGGGCCCTGGGCAGGTTAGTGTTGGCCCCTACTGCTCATCCAAAAGCAGTGTCAGATACAGGTAACTGCCCAAATAAAGGAAACACCAACATAAAGCGTTTTAATAGGGCGTTGAGCCGCCAGAACAGCTTCAATGCGCATAAATTCTACAACTGTCTTCCACAAGAAATTCCATAATTTGTTGGTGGTTTCAGGTGCCGCTCCAGAATCTCCCATAAGTGTTTAATTGGGTTGAGATCTGGTGACTGACACAAACACAGACACACACACAGACACAGACATTTGAAACCCCTCTTTCAAAGTCACTGAGATCTTTTCTAAGTCATGGTAGCCAAAATAATGGGCAACTGGGCATTTGTATACATGGCCCTAAGCATGATGGGATGTTAATTGCTTAATTAACTCAGGAACCACACCTGTGTGGAAGCACCTGCTTTCAATATACAGTGTACTTCGTATCCCTCATTTACTCAAGTGTTTCCTTTATTTTTGGCAGTTACCTGTATGTCTCTGTTGATTATTTTTTTAGGCCTTCCCTCTGTATCTCCTCATGCTGTTATGCTGTAAGGCATTTAGTCTGAGTGGCCTCAGAAACTGTTAAGGAATATGTGTAAAATACAATTGTGTAATTATTTATTTGAATTGATTGTTTGTCTAATTGTGTGTTGGTGTGTATTGCTAGATTGTGTGTTTGACCGATCCCACTGGGCAAAAACTGGTTGAATCAACATTGTTTCCACGTTATTTCAACCAAAAAAGTCAATGTGATGGCGTTGAATCAATGTGGAAAACTGATTGGATTTGAAAAAAGTAATCACGTATGGGAATTCCATCTTTTTTTAAACCAAACTTTTAACCTAAATCCAATGACATGGTGAAATGTTTTGTTGATTTCACGTTGAATTCATGTTAGTTGACAACTCAACCAAATGTAAATCAAAACTAGACGTTGAACTGACGTCTGTGCCCAGTGGTATGTTTATTTACCTCATCTGTCCATCTACATTTTACGACTGTACGAATGTAAATTGTGTGAAAGTGTTTATTATAAATAACGGTGTCTCCAAGCTGCAAAGTAAAGTCTACTACTGCACTTTGAACGTTGCTACAGTACACAGTTTATATGGGTCTGTTGGGGATTGTTAGGCCTCTCAGGATGGCAGTTTGGGCAGCCTGATCGATGAGACCGAGATGCTTTTCCAGAACCGAGAGAAGGAGTACCAGGAGACCATGGGGCAAATAGAGGTAAGAGACCAAGCGAAGAGAGGTCAAGGTTCATGTGTGCGACTCACTCTCCTGTGTGTTAGTCATCAATTATTACTGCAGAGGGTTTGGCTGCAGTCCGTCTTTGCCCCTTAATCTCTGCTTCTCCTTTCAATCCCTCTCTCTGACTCACCCTCTCACATCTCCTCCCACTCTTTTGCTCTTACTCTCTTACATCATTCACTTCTCTCACCCTCCTTTTGACTCCTCCTCTCTCCCACATCTTGGATTCTCTTTCTCTCCTCAGTATGAGTTGGCTACAGCTAAGAGTGATATGAACCGTCACCTAAAGGAGTACATGGAGATGTGTTCTATGAAGAGAGGCCTGGATGTGCAGATGGAGACCTGCAGGAGACTCATCAAGGGCTCAGGGGGCACCGGCAGGTCAGATACACCTCTTTCTCCACACATGGCACATGGCAAACAATGGCATTTCAATGTCATTGTGCATTGTTCCACTGAGACTTGTCTTGAGAAAGGCCTCGCTACACAGTAGGCATAATCACACAGATATCAATCACACAGATATCAATCACACAGATATCAATCACACAGATATCAATCACACAGATATCAATGACTGACATCTGTCCTTGTTTCCCCTCTCTCTGGTGCAGGAACTCTCCATCGTTCAGCTCGGTAGCAAGCAGTGACTCAGGGAACAGTGATGAGATCCAGGAGGAGCTGGAGAAGGACGGAGAGGCAGTAGGAGGGGTCAGCTGATAACTGACCCTTGACCCTCCGGCCCCTGGCTACACCATCACCTGACAAGGAGAAGATGATGGAGGAAATGCCATTGTTCCTCAATGCTGTGATCCCCCTTTTCTTCAGCAGGTTTCCAGTTGATCTAGGAGGAGTCCTGTGGAAACTATTGGTGCTTCACCGTTTTACCCATATAGGGATGAACTTGTATTCCACAACAAGGTGCAGTGTTGGTTCCTCCTCACTGCTCCTCATTGGCCTACTACTGATCAGAGCGGTCACCCCTACTCAACACAAGTATCTACACACACACTCAACTTACTGTACACCTATGGTCATTTTACTGTGTATTCACCCCAGTATTCATCCTAACCATGTTAAGATAAAGGAAACCGGACATATTCAGCCATTAGTGGTCTAGCAAAGCATTCAGTGGTCCATATGATATATTTAAGCAATTAGGCCCGAGGGGGTGTGGTATATGGGTAATTTTTTACAGCTAAGGGCTGCTCTTAAGCACGGCGCAACGCGGAGTGCCTGGATACAGCCCTTAGCCGTGGTATATTGGCCATATACCACAAACCCCGAGGTGCCTTATTGCTATTATAAACTGGTGACCAATGTAATTAGAAGAGTAAAAAGAAATGTTTTGTCATACCCGTGGTATACCATGGCTTTCAGTCATTCAGCATTTATTGCTCAAACCACCCAGTTTATAATTCAAAATAAGGGCTAGATTCTATCAGATCCACGCTAGCCGACACCTGCATAGCAGTTGTTTTCCACAAGTGGCTCCGGGCATTATACTTAAAGTGGACATTGCCATTAGCTGCATTAACAGAAATCCCATGCAGCGTTGTTTACAAGTTTGAACACTGAACTGTGAGATGTAATCTACTGAAGTAGGCTGATAGAAATCTTCATTATTTTGTTGAATGATTTTCAATTTGAGCATCATTATTTATTTCTCGTTCAGAACTTCTAACGCGAGTGGGATGGGTGTGGCATCGTGGCAATGATCACAAGAGCAGCTGCTCACCGATTTGACAGCGTCAACGCAGTTACACCCCCGACACCGCCACAATATCAGCTATGTGGGTGTCGGCTATCGCTGTTGATCTGATTGAATCTAGGCCTACGTGTTGGCAGGGAAAATCCATTTGACATACTAGACACAAGAGGTCAATCTTCACTCACTGAAGTCAGATTTAGATTCACTCTGAGATTGCCTTACTGTAGATGCCATTGCTTTTGCGCATACAAAGAAGGCCCGGAGTGCCTTTGCAGGTACTGTATAAATCGGTAAACTTGTCCAAGTTCCCCCATATCTGGACACAGCCATAACAGGAGGGGTAAAAGTGAGTTGAAGTACTGTACTATGCAATAAGCAAGCCTTATTTTTCTGGACTAACCTCCATTACTTGTCTTAGTTTTTTTGCTGGGTGATTATGATCCATCTGTTAATCTGACAGCCTAGAAGACTTGGGGCCAGATATACTTATCATTTGCACCAGTCCAAATTTTCAGAAGGGAATCAAAGAGACCAAAATACAAAGCTAAAAGCTCTTTACCTTTTCCTTAACTTTTTGTTTGAAATCTCTCTAAAACTAACAGTGCTCACGTTTAGCACATCTGGCCTCAACATGGTGTGTCAGATGACTCCACTCTCTTTGAGGAATGGTGTCACTCAGTATTTTCAGAGGGTAAATATCACCAAACATGGTCATCTAAATAAACCTGTGTGCCTACTGATACACTAGCCTGGTCTCAGATCTGTTTGTGCTGTATAGCCAACCATAGGAGTTGGCAAGACAGAGCAAACAGATCTGAGACCAGGCTACTGATATGCTGGACTCAGAATCAATATGAATTGCCTTATTACATAGTTTTATTTTTGTTAAATGCTACTTTAGCACTAACATTTATGATTTATGATACACACAGCCTGTTATTGATCTATGTCTAGATTTCATTATCGTTTGTATGCTCTCCAAAAATGGAAGAGCCATTTTGAATCATATAAAGGGATAATAATGTGTAAGTTGTTCATGATTTTTGACATTCGTATTTGAATATATCTGTTAGTTTCTTTGGGAACAGTCATGGGTGCCAGGGATTTGCTGGCTGCAAGATTCATATTTTTATTTTATGTGCAGAATACAGCTGAATGCAGATGCTTGCAAATCTACTGTGTGACTGAACCATATATTTAATAAAAATTGTTTTAATAAAAAGACTGCTCTTTATTTTAACGTTATCTCTTGGGGCAGATAGCAAATTGACAGCCTACTGTATAAGATTTTAATTTGTGCTTCTCTTGGCTTGATGACAAAAATAATTAATCTGAATTACTAGAGTGGTGCTACAAATTTCAGACAGTTACATTCACCACTGTGTGAAATATGAGATAGAAAATATATATGCAGCATGCAACAATTTCAGAGATTTTACATTTAGCAGACGCTCTTATCCAGAGCAACTTACAGTTAGTGAGTGCATACATTTTTTATACTGGCCCCCCGTGGGAATCAAACCCACAACCCTGGCGTTGCAAACACCATGCTCTACCAACTGAGCTACATCCCTGCCGGCCATTCCCTCCCCTACCCTGGGCCAATTGTGCGCCGCCCCATGGGTCTCCCGGTCGCGGCCGGCTACAACAGAGCCTGGATTCGAACCAGGATCTCTAGTGGCACAGCTAGCACTGCGATGCAGTGCCTTAGACCACTGCGCCACTCGCCACTTTTACTGAGTTACAGTTCATATAAGGAAATCAGTCAATTATAATGAATTCATTAGGTTCTATGACAACTTAGACAAAATATTGTTATTGTTACAATAAAATAATATATTAATAACATTTTAACCAGCACATCTGCATATCTCTTGTCTACCTTATAATTGATCTTGAACATCTTTGACAGGAAGCTGAACTTCCCTCTGCCTTTCTGGACAGCCTCAGCTTGAGGAAGACTGGCATCGCTCTGTTTCTCAACAGCAGACTCAGTGGGGAGAACAGACGTCACCTCTCTGTCATGGATGTTGCCTCCATCTTGAGAGGTTCCTTGCTTTCCTATGGGCTCTATCTCCATTGAGGGTTAAGACAACTGGGAGAAGTTCATCAAGTAGCCTTTGTGAACCGATTCACAGCATTGGCATAGTCCTGTGAGGAGTTGTTAGAGACCAAAGAGCCTCCACAAGAAGTGCTGCTTGAGCTTTTCTGGCCAGAGACACCAGTTGGAGCCTGTGAGGCTTCCTGATCTACCCCCCAGGAAGCAGAAGGGATGAGAAGAGGGAGAAACAACCTCTTCAATGCCTCCTCAGTAAAGGCATGAATAGGTTCAGAGGAAAAAAGCTTCCCTGATTGTTTTTGCCTCATTACAAATGTCGAATCAGCTGCCACCGATTCCTAAATAAATAGTTGTTTGTGATAATTAGGTTCTGAAATTCATCGACCAGTTGATCATGGGACATAGAGCAAACCTACCCCTGGGCAATTACTTCCTCCAGTCTCTTCAAAGCAGAATCAATAGGAACCTGCTGGAGTCCGGCTGGATTTACAATATCCAGGATGATACTCACAACGTCAGACATGGTTACAAAGTACGAAAACCTTTGCACTCACTACTGTAAGGCGCCCTGGATAAGAATGTCTGCTTAATGACTAAAATGTCAATGTAAATGTCAATAGTTGTACTCTTAACAATTGGACAACTATTGACTGATACCTCAGTTGGAATAAGGGTCCCTGGGAGTGAAGTTTTAGTCCTAAAGACCTTGATAAGGAGGAGGTGGTCCTGGGTGGCTTGTACACCAGATCTCCATTGCCTTCACAGTCAACCTTTCTGACAGTTTCCAACATACTAGCCACAATATTATTAAGTCTGGCAAGCTCCCCTGCAGTCATCATGTCGTCGAACTTGAACATGTCCTCCTGGATAGTCAGTAAGATTTGACTGATACATTTTGGGGCATTAGCCACGGTAACACTGCTTTTGACAGCTCTCACTAAGTATTCGGTGGTCCTCTGTAGCTCAAATGGTAGAGCATGGCACTTGTAATGCCCGGGTAGTGGGTTCGATCCCCGGGACCACCCATACATATAAATGTATGCACACATGATTGTAAGTCGCTTTGGATAAAAGTGTCTGTTAAATGGCATATTATTATATTATTTACCGACTGCGATGTCTTTTGGACGTCTTTTTTGGAGACCGGCCATCTAATGTTTTGAGACGGGCCGTCTGATGTCCGGCCTTCATTTCAACGACGTCGATTTTTGGTCCGGATCGGACCAAATCTGAACCAATGTTTTTTATACATTGTAGAAAGAAATAAAGACGTCCAAAAGACCAAATCTGAACCAATCATAGATATCTGTTTCACAAGTTTGGACAGCGCAGCACAGTACAGTACAGTACACAGTACAGTAAAGAAAAGTAGATTATAGTACAGTAGAGTACAGTACAGTAGAGCACAGTAGAGTACAGTACATTACAGTACACAGTACAGTAAAGAAAAGTAGATTATAGTACAGTAGAGTACAGTACAGTAGAGTACAGTAAATAAAAGTCAAGTATAGTGTCACGTCTCCTCCCGTTGCTCCCCTCCGGCGCTGTGATTCGCCGGTCTACTGAGCCACCGGTCTGAGCGCACCACCTCGGCAACACAGGAATGGAAACCCAATGCACCCTAATCACCTCCAGCGCACCTGCACCTCATCATCTCATCACCACCACTATATATCCCTGGACTGTTCATTCATTGTTGTGTGTAATTGTTAGTGTTGTGTTGTTTACTCGCTCCTTGTTATTCTCTTTCTCAAGTAAACCTTTACCTTGTTGATTCCTGCGTCCTGCCTCTTCGTATCCTAAGTACTCGTCACAGAATTACACACCTCTCACGAAAATGGATGCAGCAGGTAATCCTCCTAGAGTTTCCCAGCGCCTCGACCAGCACCAGCAGCAGCTAGCCCAGTTGAACGCCGCCATGCAGGAAGTGCTCCAATCTCTGCATAATCT